AGCCACCAGTCACAAGTGTGCAGCCCCTCTCCCTCTCTGTGGCTGGAGATTGGACTGGAGCTTTCTACGATCTGATGCACTTATACCTTTAGTTTTTGCTTTATCTAAACTGACTTTTTTCTTTGTAAATGTAGCATGCCTCTCCTCTCTCATTTCTTGGAATACAGAACCAGCCCATCCAGGGCATTAAACATCCTCCTAGATCTTTCATTTCTGTTTCAGTGAGCTTCAGGGCTATTGTCAGTCCGACTGACATCTGGTGACAGAGATGGGACTTCTGGAATGTCTGCCTTGGGTAGGAGGTGAAGCCTACAAGTCCCTCTAGCTCTGGTACTGCCCTGTGCTTCAGGCTGACAAGCTCAGCTCACCAGAATGACTGGCAGGTTAACCATTTCCATGCCCTGTCAGGTAACCTGGTGCTTTTGCCTCTTGCTGGCAATGCACTGTGCATAGACTTCTTCTTGGCTCTCCTTCCCTTGTCAAATGCTCCATATGTGGCCACCATGTGTGCTCCTTTAACAAATCTGTATCCAATGGGCTTGTGAAATTGCTTTTGTCTGGGGCAAATTTCTCTTTGCTACACCTGCCCTAAACTTTCTATTTCTCCATAAGCTCCGGAATTAGGGCATTTGAAACACTTTCTCTTTTCTCCTCATTCTCCTGTATCTCCACCGTCATCTCAGTGACTTTTAATCCTTACTTATTTTGTTTTGTTTTCTTTAAGACAGATTCTCACTGTGTTGCCCAGGCTAGCCCCAAACTCCTAGTCTGCAATAATCCTGACTCAGCCTCCCTAGTAGCTGGGATAGAAAGCACACCAAGGCCCTGTCTCAATAGTGACATGTCAATGACCCATCCTAATTTATATTCTATGCCAGCCCTTGGGCTCCCTAGCATGGTTTGCCCTCATCAAGCCAGTTTTCAGTTCTCCTCCATGCCTGCCTCAGAGCCACCACCTACCTTAGTCATGTGAGCTTTAGCCTTGCCCTCATCACAGCTGTGTGCTCAGTTACTTTTTTTTCACACAGAGGCGATTCTCCCTACTTAACTGGTTTCTCTGTTCCAATATGGCTTGCTCTCTTGCTTGAAAACTGTCTCTTATTTAAAAATGGATGGAATAACTTTTTTCGGGAATTTTCTGACAATTCTTCTGTGCCTTCTGTAACCAAACACTTTGGCTTACCCATTAACAGCAAGAAAAACTTGGTCTTTTTGCTTTGCTTTATTTATTTATTTATCTTTGTTTCTGTAAGTCTGGGAACACATGAATGACAGCATGTGTGAGGACAGAGGATATTTTTCTGGTCTCATTTCTCTCCACTGTGGAATCCAGGACTGGAACTCACATCATTGGTTTTGTGTAAAATGTCATCTGCTACATATTCCTGTCTACTCAGTGTGTGGTTAGGAACCAGGGTCCATCCTGAGAAACTGGTTGCCAATATCCTGTTGGAAGTCGCCTGCTGTTCATTTCCTTCTGGAAGCTTCGCTAGGGTTACCCATTGTTCTTGAACCATGGAATGTTCACATTAGCGCCTAAGTGAATACCATGTTTTCATGGGGGACTTGGAGATTTGTACTCGGTTTCTGCCCCTTACTCAGCAGCCCCCTGCTGAATGGCGTTTTTCCCTCTTTCTTGGTTGGTGGACAGCCATCTCCTTTAAATCCAGAGGGTGTTTCCAGGTGCATTTTAGTTTCGTTTAAAAACTCTCACAAATAGTGGATAACTCCACAGCAGTTTAGTTTCCCCTCACATAAAGAGACTCACAGAAGTGGTTCTGGGCTGTGCTAGTTACTCCAGAGTGGCAAAGGAAACCTGATTGTCTTCCTAGTGCACCTTCCTTGCATGTGGCTCCCATCCCTACCTAAGCATCCAAAATGGCTGCGGGAGCTCCAAACATCACTTCTGAGATGTAATTCAGAGAAAAAAAGAAAAGAAGGAAAAAAATCAGACCACCCAGGCAAGTCCCTGCCTTTTCAGTGGCATTTGGAAAAGATCCAATGCGGCTTCCACTCACATCTCCTTGGACAGCATTTAGTTTGTGACCACACCTAGTGACAGGAGAGAGTGAGAAGTACATTTTATTCTGTGCAAAATGAGCCTAGAAGGCCAGGGACAACTAGGCAGCTGGCACTGGGAGGACACATGGGTCCCTACTTCTCTGCTTCTGCTTGGTTTGTTTTTCAGAGCTTGCATGATGTCCTGACCAGTGTTCCCTGCCTTGATTGTGTCCTGTCTTTGCACACCCACCTCAGTCAGATGCTTGTCAGTGGCATCCGTTCTGTGATTTGATCCATTGCATTGAGTTTTCCAGAACCCCAGGTGTCTAGATTCAGACATACTATTTTGACCACAGCAGTCTGTGTCTGAATGGGTCTTGGCTCTGCAGCACCCAAGGGCATAGGCACAGAGCTTCCAATTTTTCTGTCCTTGGGCTCTGTGTGGTCAATAATAGTATGGCAGAGATGTCTGCATTGCAGCAGACACAAGGCATGTCCACCACCACCAATCAGGAAATTCAGCCTCTCAGGAAACATGGATAGAGAGAAGAGTCCTAAGAACACCTGGTTCCAGTACCAGCTTCTCTCACAGCTGTGGTATCATGGACCTGTCACTCATCTTATAGGTTCTCCTGTCTGGAAGGGTTCTAACAGCTGCCTTCACCAAGACATATCAATTTTCAGAAAACTCTCTGCACACTTCCTATCTAATGATGGGCATTAAACCTTAGTCGGTGCTGATATGAATCCTCTGTGCTTTTTTAAATGCTCTGCCCTTGGTCTTTGATGACACAGCTCTGTTGTCATTTAAAGTCAACGAAGGTAACTCTTTCTCCATGATTCAAAGTCTTAGGTACTGCACACCTATGTCCTTCACAACTGTCATGTTGAAACTACTTCTGTAATGGGATGGGACCTTTGGGAGCTGATGGGGTCTCAGGAGCAGAACCCTTTTGAGGATATTGGTGTCCATATATTAGATATTCCAGGGAGCTCTCTTGATGTCTCCACTAAGATGGTAGCAGTGAGGAGTCTTGTGAGGAAGAGGTCTGTCAGACATCAAATCTGTTGTTACTTGACCTTGGCTTTGCCATTGATCAGAACTTCAGGAAACAAAAGTCTGTGGTTTTTATGAACTGCCCCTTCAGTGGTGTTCTATGACAGTAGTCCTCCCAGATTAAGACAATGGTGTAATTTTTATTTTGTCATGTTGTCCTTTTCTTGGTGACTCTGGAGCCTTTTTTTAAGGCAAGTGGTTGGCGTACAAAACACTTTCATCACTCTTTGTCTCAGAATCTTTTGATTACTTCTAAACTTAAACAGCTCATGGGTGCTGGTGGCAATGGTTTGATGTGATTGCACCATTAGTATGAAACTTCTTAATTAACCTCAGTTTTGGGGAGTGGTGTGAGATAGAGGTTCCAGATTTGTGTGTTGTTTTTATGTGTCAGTCATCTTCTCACTTTCAAATGGAATATTCTATCATTTTACATTCATTACTGTTTCCTCTTCCATTTATACAGAGCATTCTGGGGTCAAATAACACTTGTTCCAGTCAAGGTGCCCACTGAGAATCTAGGTAAGAGATAGGCAAATATAGACAGATAGATCTATAGATGGAAATACAGACAGATCTGTGGAGAGAGAGACATGTGTATAGATAGATAGGCAAATCAATAGATAGAAAGATAGATATATAGATAGAAAAGTAGACAGATAATAACATGAATGGTAGACAGACATAGATATAAGACACATCCACATGGGTGGATAGGAAAATGGACACATGTGTACAAACATAGATGGAAGGATGGGTAGATATATGAAGAATTTATAGATACAAAGGTAGGCAAATATATTGATAGACTTTGACATTGTCCATTGATAGATGGACAATGGTGTGAGTGCTGTGTATGTTGACTAAAGTTTCAAATATCCTTGTAGGAGTAGAGGCCACAGCAAATGCTCTGCTCCTCTGGTACTTCCCAGGTGAACTTAGTGAAAAGGAGGAAATCCCCAGGCTTCAGAGAAAGGGGAACTGGGAAGCAGAGGGGCCTGTGGGAGAACTAATGCTAAATAGAGCAGAGGTGGTGGAGAGCAGCAGACCATGCATGGCTAGAGAACAAGGGTGTGTGTGTGTGTGTGTGTGTGTGTGTGTGGTTTTTCTGTGGTTTTCAGTAGCCAGGCTCAGGTTCTTGGTCTCAGCGCCATCAATAGGTAGAGACTGATGAAAATGTCTGGGCAGGCAAGAGCCCTTGACACCTGTCTATCTTTAATTCATGCGTGTGTGCATGTGTGTATGTGTGTGTGTGCATGTATGCATATGTGTGTGTATGTGTGTTGTGTATGTGTGTGTGTGGGGTGTGTGTGTGGTGTGTGTGTGGTGTTTGGTATGTGTGGGTGTGTTTGTGTGTGTGGTGTGTGTGTGTATGTGTGTGTTTGTGTGTGT